AAAAAAAAAAAAATCAACCAACCAACCCATCAAGAATGAACCCACCCACCTTCCCGAAGAGCTCCTCCTCCCTGGAGACTGCCCTCGGTTCCTCATTCAGGTGTCTATGCATCTCTAGCAACTTTTAAAACAATACCAAAGACAGACAAAAAGGAAAAAAAAAACAAAAAAAAAGAGAGAAAATAATAATAAAAGTAAGGCGAGTTCCGGTCCATGTTTACTGCGGTGGGGACGGGCGGTGCGGGCGGCTCGGTGCTGTCCCGCGGGCCGGGGGCTGCCCCTGTCCCTCTGAGCACACACAGAGAACAGACTCTGCCTGCGCTCCAGGCCCTGCAGAGGTTTGGTTTGTGTTTTGGTTTGTTTGGTTTTTTTCTCCCCACAGATGTTTTGTTTTAAAGAGAAAAAGGAAAAAAAAAAAAAAGCGTGTGCTGTGGTGGGACGAAGGCCCCTTCCCTCCTTTACGTGTACGACAGACTCATTTATACATTTGGGGTGGGTTTGTTTTTTATTTTATTTTGTTTGTTCGTAGGGTTGGGGTTTGTGTTTTGGTTTTTTTTGTTCTTTTCAAAGCCTTGTTACAGAGGTGGATGTAGTTGCACATTCTGGCCTGCTGTGGACCATGAGACGGATACCTGTGCGTTCCCAGAGGAGGGGGAGGGATGCTGGGGGATTCAGGCTAAAAAAATAAAAAATGGGCAGAGTTTTTACTACTGTGAATGAGATGGTAACTCCTGGAGGTGACCTCCCATGACTTGTACAGTTGTGAACAACAATCACACGTGGTACTTTTCTCTCTCTCCCCCTCTCCCCCCTTTTTTTTTTGTTTGTTTTTTTGTTTAAACGTTGCACGTGCTACCGTTTGGTTTTTTTCTTACAGAATAGCTTGGTGGTACATTAGCTTCTTTATATTGTAAAAAAAAAAAAAGAAAAAAAAAGAAAAAAAAAGTCATTATCCATCACATCACGATAAAAATGCTTTCCAGCAATCAATTTAAATAAAAAAGAAAAAGAAACCCACTTAATTTACAAATGGTACCTAGCTTCCTGAGCTCCTTCCCAGAGTTGCTTTATCCAAGAAGGCTCCTTTCTGTCACGGTGTGTACCCCAGGGCGCAGCCTCACTGCTGGCGTCGGTAACTCTTGGCAGCCAAAAGGCAGCCGGCACTTTGCCTGGCTAAGTTAGAAACAGGAGAAAAAAAGCAGTTCCTTTCCCTTTTGGAAGAAAAGGTAAGTTAAAACGTTCCTGGAGTTAGGGTCTTACAGTCCTAAGGCACATCGAGCGAACTTCTTCAGCAGACTCACGGCCAGGCCTGAGCGAGCTGAGCCCCTTCTGATGATCCTGATAAAGGTTTTCATTTGCAGTGAAGATACAAAGCTCTGAAACACTCGTCCTTAAGAACTTGTTGGCAAAAGAGGGAGGGGTTTGGTGAGAGCCCCAGAGCAAAATACAGGGCAACACAGGTGATTGGCCCAGCAGCCAGGAGGACCCTTGGACAAAGGAACGTGTCCTTCCCCGTGTCAGCTCACTCACGCACCAGCAGGAGCCAAAAACTGAACCCTGTGCCATTTAAAGCAGCAGATTTTAATGAGGGCTTTTTATTACCTATACTGGACAGTTTTACTGGCCTTGACATGGCCATGATTTTACTGTTACCAAAAAAGACATAACCGGTAGAAAAAGCTTGGAAGTCCAAGTAGAGTCTCTGCTGTGTCACTGAGAAAGTCCTTGGTGGCACCTGGGGTGCCCACCCTCCACGGTCCCCAGCTCTTACCAGCTCTTTGAGATGCAAAAGCTGGTGCTGGAGGCTGGCTGATCCGGAGCACGGCAGCTCTGAGGGATGAGTTTGGAAGGGAGTGGCCCCAAGGGTGCTCAGTCATCATCGGAGAAAGCCAAGTCCTCCACAACATCCTCTTCTCCCTGGGCGAGCTGTTCGAGATCAGACCGTGACATCCGAGGGCGGCTCCTCTGCTTCTGTGACGCTGGGGAAACCGCGGTGGCTTCTCTGCCTTCCTCTGTGGGTGGAAAGAGCAAGAGGTGTAAAGCCTCTTTACTGGGAGCGAGAGTGAGGCGAGTCGAGGCACCTCATTGCTAATTAATCCCAGACACTCATTAATTCCTCGGCGCCACTGCAGCTCCCAGATAGCGGCAGGAGAGCGCTGCGGGGTGCTCGGTGCAGCGCTGGCTCTGAAGTACTTGGGGACGCCAGGAGAAGAGCCTGCCTAACTGCTGTGCCTGAGGCAGAAACATAAATTAAGAACTGGGAGGGGGGGTCAGTGCCTCCAAACCTTGAGCCCTCGCAGCTCAGGGCAGTCTTCCTCGCTAGGGATGTCAGGCTGGGCATTAAGAGTTGATGGGAAGGAGCTGTCATAGGAGCAAGACTCCCGAATGCAAAACTAGCCCCAAGCTCCCTGCCGTTCTGGTTTTTTTTTTTTTCTGAAATGTTGTTTTCATAGTGGGGAAGCACAAGTGAGAGCTGGTGCAGGACTGCATGTGTTCCCATTCCAGAAGCGTGGCATGAGCTTGCTTCCAAAAGGGAGCCCTTCAAACCAGGCTCTACCAGCAAAGCATCTGCTTGGCACTAATTCTTACCTCCAGTCTCACGCCCACGGCCTCTCGCAGGCTGGGGGAGGGGGGCGCCGCGGGGGCGGGGGGGGGGTG